ATCCCAGTAAAATAGACCAGAAACCTTAGGATTGGAGTTTTGGGAGGTGGGCATGGCAGAGGGGCTGGCAGATGGGCACATACATGCACCACCTGAAATAAAAACCCCAAGAGATGGGTTCAAAGGCAGAATGGAGGTGACAGAGGAAAGAATTAGTGAACTGGAGGATAGGACACTAGAAATTACCCACTCTGGACAACAGAGAGGAAACAGACTGGAAAAAAGTGAGCAGACCCTCAGGGACCTATGGAAATATAATGAAAGATCTAACATTTGTATCATCAGAGTCCCAAAGAGAGAGGAGAAAAGATGGCGGGGCTGAAAAAGGAACAGAAGAAATAATGGCTGAAAATGTCCTAGATTTGGCAAGAGACATAAAGCTATGAATCCAAGAAGGTGAACAAACCTCAGATGGTATATACTCTAAGGAATCCACGTTAAGACACACCATCATCAAACTTCTGAGGACTGAAGTCAAAGAAAAATCTTGAAAGCAGCAAGAGAGAAATGACATGTTGCCTGTAAGAGAAGAACAATTTGAATGACAGTGGATATCTGTTCAGATTCCATGAGGCCATAAGAGAGTGGCAAAACCTGTTTCAAGTCCTGAAAGAAAAGAACTATTCACCAGAATCCTATATCCAGCAAACATATCCTTCAGGAATGAAGGGGAAATCAAGACATTCTCAAATGAAGGAAAATAAAGAGAATTTTTTTCCAGCAGACCTATCCTCAAAAAATGGCTAAAGTAAGTTCTCTAAACAGAAAGAAAATGATAAATTGATCCTTGGAATACCAGGAAGGGAAAAAAGAACATGGTGAGCAAAAATACATGGAAATTAAATAGGTTTTACTTTTCCTCTCGAGTTTTCTAAATTATATCTGATGGTCAAAGCAAAACTTATAACACAGTCTGATCTGTTTCTCAGAGTACATAGAGGAACTATTTGACAAATGTAGTATAAATGGGGGAGAGTGAAGGGACATAAGGAGATGTTAGGTTTTTATAGTTCACTAGAACTGGTAAAATGATATCAGTGAACATGATATATGTGTACGTATATGTATATATATGTAATATACATGCAATATATGCTCTCTCTATATATTTGCAGTACTAGAGCAACCACTAAAAGTCTATACAAAGAAATACACTCAAACACAGTACAGATAAATAAAAATGTATAGAATTATAAAACGATCCTGTTCCAGTAACCCACAGGAAGGCAAGAAAAATAAAACAGAAAAAGGAAAAAGAGAAATAACAGAAAACAAATAAAATGGTGGACTTAAGCCCTAACTTAACAATCGTTACAGTAAATGTTCTAAGTATACCAATTAAAAGACAGAGGTTGGCAGAATTAATTTTTTTTAAATGAACCAACTATATGTTGCCTACAAGAAACTCCAAATATGATGATAGTCTGTGTGGAAAATCCCAAGGAAGCTACAAAAACAAACAACAACAACAAACACCCTCCTACTAAGTGAGTTCAGCAAGGTCAGAGGATACAAGATGAACCTGCAAAAATCAGTTGTCTTTCCATGCACTGGAAGTGAATACATGGAAACCGAGATTAAAAATACATGACAGTTACAATTATTTGAAAAAAGAAAGATGTAAATGTGACAAAAGATGTATAAAACGTGTATACTAAAAACTATACGACACCGAGGGAACTCAAAGAAGACCTGAATAAATGGAGTGACATACCAAGAAGAATCAACATAGTAACAATGTCATCAGCATAATTGATGTGCATGTTTAACACAATTCCTATCAAAATCCTACCAAGACTTTTTATAGATATAGACGAGATTATTCTAAAATTTATATTGAAAGGTGAAGGAACTAGAATAGCTAAAAAATGTATAAAATAAGCATAAAGTGGGAGGAACCAGTTTATCCAATTTTAAGATTTCTTAGATTGCTGCAATAATGAAGACAGTGAGGTCCTGATGAAGAAATAGACACATAGATCAAAACAGAATGGAGAATCCAGAAACAGATCTAACAAGTTGGGCAGAGTGGTTTTTGACAAAGTTGCGAAACAGTTCAGTGGGGGGGCCGGGGAAGCCTTTTCAGCCAACTGGAGCAATTGGACATCAACAGACAAAAAACACAAAAAACAAAACTGATCTAAGTCTCACACCTTATACAACAGTTAACTTAGACTAGATCAGAGGCTGAAATGTAAAACATAAAGAGAAAAGCGTAGGAGAAAATCTTCAGATGCAGTACGAGGTAAAGGGTTTTTAGACTTGACACCAAAAGCAAACTCTGTAAGGTGAAAAATTGATAAATTGTATCATAAAAATTAAAAACTTCTGCTTTGCAAAAGACCATATTAACAAGATGAAAAGACAAGCTAGGAATGGGAAAAAATATTTGCAAATCATATCCAACAAATGATTAATATCTAAAATATAGAACTCTCAGGACTCAACAGTAAAAACTAAAACAAATAGAAACTAAAAAAAAATCCAATTAGAAAATGGTCAAAAGCCATGAAGAGGCATCCAGTAAATTAGATATACAGATGGCAAATAAGTACATAAATGATACTCAACATGAGCCATTAGACAAATGAAAATTAAAATCGCAGTGAGATACCACTATATATCTAACAGAATGGCAAAACAAAAACAAAGAAACTGAACGGTAAATGCGGACAAGGTTGATGAGAAACTGGAACTCTCATACATTTCTGGTGGGAATATGAAATGGGACAACCACTCTGAAATACGTTTTGGCAATCTCTTAAAAAACTAAACATGCAGTTTTCATAGGGCCCAGCAATTGTACTCCAGGGCATTTATCCCAGAGACATGCAAAACCTGCAGATGAATGTTTACAGAAGTTTTATTCGTAGTAGCCAGACACTGAAAACAATCCAGACGTCCTTCACCTGGTGAACTGGTTAAACCATGTGGCACGTCCATACCAAGCGAATCCTAAAAGGCTACACACTGTGCAATTCAATTTATAAAACTTCTTAAATTATAAAAGTTTAGAGATGGAGAACATCTTAGTGGTTACCAGGGGGTGTGGGGAGAGTGGGGATGGGAGAGCAGAGGGTGTGACTAAAAGAGGGCAACATGAGGGATCTTTGTGGGGTTGGAAGGTTATGTCAACATCCATATCCCAGTTGTGACATGGCCCTGTAGTTTTGCAAGATGTTATCTCTGGATTAAAGGGTACACAGTATCTCTCTGTATTATTTCTGAATTGAATCTACATTTATATCATTGAATAATCGAGCCTACAATTTTCTCAAAATAAAAAGTTTAATTAAAAAAAAAAGCCAGATACGGAACAGCACAATCCCACTCTCTTAACTCCCAGTGTGGGTGCTGACCAACCCCCGTGCTCTCGTTTACGTTGGTAACCAAACTAGGAGAGACTCTTCAAGCTCTTAACCATCACTTCCACTGGGGTTCTGCTGAAAACTGTCCCCCAAACTTTCACAGTGTGTATTCAAAATCATGAGATGCTGGAGCTGGGAAAATGTGAAACAACTGCATACAGGGGACTTGGTGGGCTTTGGGTCCCCCACAATGTCCATTGGACCCCAATGGCCACTTCTTGAATAAATTCTAATCCAGGTGCTTGCAGTGTGACAGCCTCCGCCTCCGGGCTCTCTGCTCTGAGATGGCTGCTCCAGACTTGGCGTGCCTGGGTCCTGTCACTTAGCCACCCCTCTCCGCAGCGCTTACACCCAAGCAGCTTCTCAACGGCTTCTCTCGTTGTATTTCTTAATTTGGAGCACAGGCCTTAAGCAGCCTGGGTCCCCCCCTCAAGACGTGTGACCCTGAGATGGGAGTTTCTGGAGGACAGTGGTTCTTTTCCACACTGCTATGGTGTAAAGTTGTTTGTGAAAGAAGGAAGGACGCAAAGGCCTTCCGAGGTCAGTGTGAGCAGGGGCACCTGTCACTCAGGGACAGAGATACTGTCAGTCGTGGGTTGCAGGTGAGGAGACGAAGCCTCACAGGCAAATTGGAGGTGCTAATGTGGAGCCCAGGTGGTCTAGACTGCGATCCAGTGCTGTCCCTGTGCCCCAGCTACACTGCCAGCTGCACTGGAAGCTGTTCAGAATTCCCTGTTCCCAGGGGTTTTGTTAGGAGCCCAGGGAGGGTTTCTGGGGCAAGGCCTGCACTTGTCTGCCTCTACCCTACCTCTTGGGGATTGTGCACATCCTCCCTCAAACCCCCAGCTTTTTGTGTGTGTGTCTGACTGTGTGGTGTGTGTGTGTGATGTGTGTGTCTCTCTGTCTGCATGGGGTGTCTGTGTCTGAGTGCCTCTCTGTTCCTTTTTATGTGTTATGTGGGTTTGTGTGTCTCTGTGGATCGCGTGTGTCTGTCTTTGTGTATTGAGTGTGTGTCCGTGCAGTTTGTTGTTTGCATGCGTGGTGCCCACGTGTGTGTATCTGTGGGGAGGTCTGTGTGCATGTGTGTCCCTGCATGTGTCTCTGTGCGGGTGGGTGTGCGCGCGTGGTGTGTGCGCGCGTGGGTGTGGCGTGTCCTCCCGCTCGGAGGCTCCCGAGAGCCGACCCCGTTCGGGGAGTGACAGTCCCCGGCGCGGCCACCCCGGGGCGCGGCCGGCGGGGAGGAGCGCGTGGCGGGTCCGCCAGCCGCACACGTGGGCCCGGCGCCGCCTCTCGCGTTCCCACCCCCTCCGGCCGCCCCCGCCGAGAGCCGGGATAAGTGGCGGCGCGGACGCCGCGCCCTGTCTCTGCGGAGCCGGCAGCGCGCAGCTCTCCGGCCCTGGCCCGCCACAGACGAGGACCGCGCTCGGGGACGCGACAGCGGCGCTCGTGGCCCCGGTAACTGCCTCCCGTACCCGCCCCCGGCTGCCGCGCCGTCCCCGGGTCGGGCAGCCCCGGGTCCCCGCGTTCCCGCGTCCGGGCTCGGCGTGGGCTCCCGCGCCCCTGCACGCGTGTGCGCGCGTGTCTGTGTGTGCATTGGTGCGCGCGCGCCCCGCTCCCCAGCAGCAGCCCCGAACCAACTTGGACCCGTCAACTCCGTGTCCCCGTGCCTGTCCGCGAGCAGAGCAGCTGGCAGCACCTCCAGAGACAGCGCGGGGCTGTGCTGCCTGCGCTGGTGGAGACAGGAGGGGAACAAAGTTTGTCGGGAGCCCGGGTGACTTTCCTCGGGGACCCGCATGTGTGCGTGTGCGGGGGGCCTGGGAGCGCGGAGCTGGTTCCCTGGCTTCCCGGGCAGTGGGCGCCGGGCTCCCGGCCCCCCTTCACGCCGCCTCAGTGGTTTGTTTAGGAAAAGTGATGGTGAACTAGTAGTGGAGGCTCGCAGGCGCCCGCTGCCCGCCCCGCGGAGGGAGGGCGGCCCCGGAGGGCTGAGAGGGCGCCGCACCCTTCAAGCCCAGGCGGCATATGTGAGCCAGGGCTCGAGGTGGGAACCTGTGACCGCCGAGATGAGGGAACAGCCCGTGTTTGCCTGGCTCTAACTGTCAAGGCTGTGGGGTTGTGGACCGCAAAAGCCAGGACGTGATGGAAACAGGTTTGTCACGGCATCCTTGGAATTTCAGACAGGAGGAGTTAATCGCAATATCACCCACCTCATTATCGTGCCCCTTGGAAACTTCCTGGGGGATTTTAAGATAGATGGGTCTTTTGCAGCTGGGTCTTTATACCCATAGAGCTGACTATAATTTCCACTTGATTACAGCTAAAGTAGTCTTTAAGATGAAGTTTCCTGAAATGATTTAAAATAAACACAGATGGGAAGGGGGAAAAAGCTGTAATGAGGCACTTAAAAAATAAAGTGAGCATTTTTCTTAACGAATGGGATTTTTCAGTCTTAAGGAATATATATGTATTTTTAAAATCTTTGAAATGGAGGTTTTTTGTTTTTAACCTGCTTTAAAAAATTGTTACTGACTCTGAACAAGGTTTCCCTCCTGATCTCTATGTGTTTTGCCATATCCCTGACTTTGGAATGTGTCCTTCTTCCTTCCCAGGACCTGAAGATCCTTTCAGAATGCCGGAGGAAAGTTCTCCCAGGCGGACCCCGCAGAGTGTTCCGTACCAGGACCTCCCTCACCTGGTCAACGCCGATGGACAGTACCTCTTCTGCCGGTACTGGAAACCCTCGGGCACACCCAGGTAAGTCTCCCCCAGGTGCTACCCGGATGTGCCCTGGGGGGGGGGTTCATGTCCCCTCTCCCCCTTTGTGTGCAGCTCCCGTGCGGCCACTTTCTCCATGACCAACTTCACGTGCCATTTTAACATCAGGCACAGTGGGCTAACAGAACTGAGATTTATATATCTTTTTTTAAAATTAAGAAGCAGACGTTCTATTTTCATTATAACAACTAGGATACGGATTCTACCGTATGGCAGTTTTCAAAAATTCCACATGAGTTTATTTTTTGTACTGGAGTTGATTTCCTGTTGTACAGGCATTCCTTTAAAATCCAACCCAGCAGTTACAGAAAACCACCTAATCAGATAAGATCAAAATAATGGATATATAGTAACTTTTGTTCTCTTTTCCTGTTTGAGTATGAGCTTCAGAAGGTGTCATACCTGTGTAACAGAGAGAAAGGGGTCTGGGTGTTTCCTTCTGATTTCTTGCCAGCTCAGTTACTTTGTACATTTTCCATCAAGGACTTGTCTTGCTCTTAGAAGCAGGCGTTGGGACCTGCACACAGTAAGATAGCTGGTCTCCTGCTTCCCTCCTCTTGTACGAAATAGGGAAAACCCTGCTTGTTTGCGTTGTTCAGGGAAAGAAATTATTTGTGGTAACCAATTGGCCTAGTGAAAAGTGAACATTTTCTGTTCCATGGACATGTTACCTGTTTCACAGGCCTGTTGTCTCCTAGGGGACATGTATGGTGTGCTGTGGCTTATAGGATTATGTCTCCCTTTGTGTTTCAGTCATCACCCAACCCTAGTACAGATACAAAATTCCTCCTACATTTTCAACAAGGTGTGTATAATCCAGGTAGCTGCACATTAAAAAACAAAAACAAAAGCAGAGATATGGACTTTAAAGACCTGGTTTAAAATCATAGCTTCAGGGCAGCTATATAAACCGGCTATTGTAATGGGCAGTTAAGAGTTCCTACAGGGCTTCCCTGGTGGCGCAGTGGTTGAGAGTTCGCCTGCCGATGCAGGGGACGCGGGTTCGTGCCCCGGTCCCACATGTGGGACCCCACATGTGGGAAGATCCCACATGCCGCGGAGCGGCTGGGCCCGTGAGCCATGGCCGCTGAGCCTGCGCGTCCGGAGCCTGTGCTCCGTGACGGGAGAGGCCACAACAGTGAGAGGCCCGCGTACCGCAAAAAAAACAAACAAACAAAAAAAGAGTTCTTACAGGTCTGGCCATGTCCTTCTTAAAGATTTCCTCTACAGGAGAAAGTATGTGTGTATGTGCATGTGTGTCAGACGGGGAGGTGGGGTTGTCAGGCATTATCATTAATTCTCCATTCTGACTTAATTGGCAGTACAAGTGCACACTCTTGGTTTAATTTCTAACAACTTCGTGGTATGTGGTGCATTATTTGATCAATATACAAAAAGAGGACAAAGAATTGGGAGCTAAGTTTGTGATGTTTGAGTCTCAGACGTTGGGGGCTTTCCTGGTTAAGTGGGGAGGTTGTCCTCGCTGGAGGTTGATGGAGGGGAGACCCTGCGGTCCTCAAATGGGCGGGGTGGTGCTGAGTGGGTGGGCCAAGGCAGAATGGCTGCCCTTCCCTGGGCTGTGAGTGGTTTTCACAGTCTCCACCCTGAGTCGCACTGTGGGGAGCTCTGTGCTTCCTCGCTTTTGCTCTAGTTAGAGATGGCAAACGCCACTCCCAGTTGTTTAAACCGAGTGTCTCTTGGGGTTAGTGTTTACCTTGCAGCGGACGCTGATGGGAATAAGAACGGGGGCCGATGGTTGAGGCAGCTGGGCCCTGGGCTTTGGAAGAGAGGCTGCCCGCCTACCTGCTCGGCCTCCACCCCCTGAGATGATGCAGGTCGATAAACTCCCTCTGGGATTGCCCCCCCCTCTGTCAGGGGGTCCTTAAAACACTTCACCACCAGCCCTGACCAGTTGGAAAGTCCTGGAGGCCCCCGCGGTGACAGATGCCGCATCCTGGCGTCCTGGGGGAGGGGTCAGGGCAGGCCGAGTGGTGAGGACGCAGCGGGGGCCTCAGGGCAGAGGTCTGTGCCGGCTGGTGAGGGAGCGTGTCCCTATCAGAGAAGCTGAGCCCAGCTGCTCTGGCAGATAGCAGTGTGGCAGCCCAGCCCTCTTGCTGCTCTGGGACAGCTCTGCTGCTTCGTGTCAGCACGGCTGCCTCTAGGAGCGGGAGGGGACCACTGGCCTCCGCCTTTCCCCTCCAGGGAGTGTCCTCCATGGTCTTTCCCCCAGTTAGCTCAGAGTCTTGTCTGCTCTAATCGGCGGGGAAAACACCAGCAAATGTCCCTTTTCTCTGCTCCTTTTAAAAAATCTTTCCCGCAGAGGCCCTTGGGACCTCAGAAGCCACTGTCTTACAGACTGTGTCCAACAGAGGGGTCGGTGCCTGTCTCTCTTAGTTGGCACTGGGATGGGTTGGATTTCTGGTCAACAAGTTGGGCCTGTTCAGAACACCTGCCAGAACATTCAGCCCCCGGAGGATTTGCTGGGTTCCCAGACCAGCTCTGCAGGCGGCTCAGAGCGACCCAGGGTCATGGCATCAGCCACACTGGGAAGTCGGCTTAACCTGCTGATGGAAACATTGTGTCTCTACAAAGGCTGGCCTCCTCACCCTGGGCCCTGGGGTCGCTGTTCCCCTGTGTGCGTCCAAACTCAGTGTTGTTTTTAACAGAGCTGGCCGGAGACTCGGTCTTTAATCACTATGAACCAGAGGCTTAAAGCCTACGCTTGGTTCCGCCAAGGCAGATTCGCGCTCATCTGGTAGTATTTACTGTAACAACAAACATCGTACTTAAGGTGTAGCAGAATTATCTCATATGAATCGAGTATCGTGTGTTCTGCAGTCCGGACTAGTCTCTTAGACGTGATCTCGTTTTATCTTCACGTCAACCTGAGGGGCAGATGTTATCATTGTTTTCCCTCTTTTAAAGCTGGTCCAACTGCATTTTGTCCACATTCCTCTGGTTCCAAGTCTCTTACTAAGGAAGACAGACTTTTGTCTAAGTACTGTCTTCCTGATAAATTCTTATATTTTTTGTTAGGGTAAAGGTCACTTCTTATGGTAAAGAGGAATAGAATAATTAATCCTCCCTAATTGTTTCTTCATAATATATTAAAAGTGGGAAATAGATTAAGATATGATCCATTCTGAAACAAAACCTTCTGATGCCCTGGGGACTGGCTGCCTTATCGAGACTCGGTACTTTGGAATTGTAAAATACTGGTTCTTCAGCAAGTTTCCACTGATGGTGTTTTCAGGGTAGTGGAGACTAGCCCAGGTGAGGCTTGAGTTGCTCTGTGGGCTCTCGTGCCCTTGGGTAGTATTTCACACCTTTGGATTCAGTCCACCACGGGGCCCTCAGTCCACTTAAAGGGCAACTTTGAATTAACTTCTGAATGTTACTTAGCCATCCTGCCCCACAGGATGAATGACTGGGCAACATCATTGGGGGGTCTGAAACAATACTCAGTTTGATGACTTGGCTGCAAAGAAGTCCTCCCTTGGTTCTGCTGGACCAGGAGGGCTAGAGAGCTCGCTGTAATTGTGTGATCGCACAGCTGCCACCTTCTGGGCGGTTAGTTCCCGGCGTGGACCGGTCATGCCCAAGGCCAGTGTGAAATAGACACTTGTGGAATCAATGCCCAGATGCTCCTTTGAGCAGGGGCTCCCCTCGTGCTGAGTGTGCTCTGTCTCGGAGGAGCACCCCACCCCCGCCCAACGCTGAGGAACTGACCAGGCTCTCCTGCAGCTTCTGTGGTGATAACAGCCAGTGTACCGAGGGAGCCGTTTCAAAGAGCACTGTCCCTCCACGGGCCGATGGCCTGATGCAGATGCCTGGGTGACTCCGCAGTGGAAGCTCCAGAGCCCCTGCCTTTGCGGGGACCTCCCAACCTGAGCCCCGGAGCCCCTTCTGCAGTCTGCCTGGCTTTGCCCGCTCCTCCTTTCTTGCCTCCACTCAGGAGCTGGCCTTCCTCCAGTGACCCCGTGGCCACTGGTTGCCGTGGACGCCTCCTCTCCCCTCCCCAGCTCCACGCGTCCAAGCTGCCCCCTCGCAGTCTCAGCCGGTGTGGTTGTCAGGACTTTCCTCTTGGTGACAGGGTGCTGGGAGTGGGGCCCATGGCAGGGGCTGGACTAAGGAGGGTGGCGTGGCGTCGTTTCGGGAACGTTACCTGTGTTCTCAGAGCCATGGCTGTTGTCGGTGGATCTAGAAGCAACAAGCCAAGGCCCCTTCTCCCCTCTTTATTCCCATTCCCCAGAACGGGGCTCAGCTGACATCCCCTACCCCTGCTCTACCCTTTACTGGGTCACTTTGCTCCCTTTCAGACACGAGGCCTTCGCAGTCTGTGTCTGGAGTTTCGGGCGATGCCGTCTTAGGGCACTTCCTCCCACCTATGCACATTTACCTGGAGAAGAAGCCATTCCCTGAAGCTGGGATATATTTAAATGCTAGAGAATGTCCTCCCTTCCTGCCACCCCTCACGATGTCCTTCCATCAGTCACCAGCCACTTGGGTGTGGCATCTGTGACTCCAGGAGCTGGGCCCCTCCCGGCCAACCTGGTCCAGACCACAGAGAGGCAGAGTCTCCATCATCTGGTTGGACTTGATTTCCACCGCCCGCCCTCTGGAAATTCTGTTCCCTTTGATGAGGTTGGCGTCTGCCCGTCCTCCCCTCCACCTTAGGCTTTCCAATCAGGTTGTGTGTCAGTCACTTGGCGCCTTTCTCCCTACTGCTCACAGTGTGGGTTCAGTGTCCTGGGCAGCATTCCCCGGGTTCTGTGTTTCTTGGAGTGTTTCTCCCTCTCTGTGGGCCCCTGCAGCCCTCATGACCCCACCCCCTCTGAACTCCTGCCGCCTGTGTGGCTAGGCGTCACCGAATCACTTACCTTTGGTTGGTACATCCCCAGGGCCAAGCAAATCACGTCCTTTCACTGTCCCTAAAAGTAGCCACTTTGAACTCCATTCGCTTGGTCTCCAAGGGCGTG